CCTTGACAGCTCTACGCTCTCTCATTCTTTAATGCATTTGGGCCAGAGGCAATGTGAGTGGTTAAAAAGTACCTTTTAACAAATGTTGAAAGGATTATACATTGAAAAGCTTGGAGATATAGAAGGCAAAGAAAATATATCTTCATGAAGATAAGTGTATTGGTTACATCACCTGTGCAATGCCTCGACTCCCAATGCTGCCATAAATCCATTAATGCTCAGCTTATTCCCCACTTAGGATGCTGACATTTACCTCTTTAAATTGAAATCCTGAAAGCAGTGAAATGAAGAGTTGCCAAAAGACTCTCCTTAGCTCACCCATCAATACCCTTACGGTTGAGTCACCAAGCAACAAGCCACCTAAGCAACAGGTCAAATCAAAGTCCTCCTCCTTGCAGCCACAAGTTCAGCCAGTACTGGACAAGTAGAAAGTTCTTTATCTGAGGCAAGCCACTGTACAGAACTACAATATTTCACTCATATGTTCCAAGTCCCCTAGATGTCCCTGAGAGTTCGCAAAGGCTGCGAACAGCTCGTCCGCTGTCACTGCAAGTGTTCAGCACCCAGTGGGCAGCATGTCTTAGGAAAGACAGTTGCTCTCAGAAGGGGTAATGTAGAAATGCTTGACCCTGCACAGACTTAAGAAGATGCCCACATCAGACTAAACAATCGGGGTCTGAAGTGTTTACTACTGCATACACAAAGTAGCTCCAAGAGGTACAATGAGTATTTCATGGAGGAACAGTTAAAAATTACCCTCTGTTCAATAGCCTGTCAGTGAACACCCAGAAAGGATGAGAAATCCTACTTCTAAAATCAGTTTAAAGTACATAGTACTTGCAATGAACATTTCTGAAAATGGTATTCTTGAGCAAAATGATAGATATCTGCTCTACAAAGCCACAAATCTCAAGAGCACAACCAGTTTTCCACAAAGGCAGATTTTTTTTCTTGACCATTTTCAGACTAAAAAAAAGCACACTAGAGATAGCTGCATAGAACAAACTTTTTTCTTCCATTTTCTGTAGAAAATTAATTTGGCAGAAGATGAATGTTTGGCTCCTTCATGCTACTAGAAATCCCAGATCTTTCCACAGCTTAGACAGGCAGGAATAAAAGCATAAATTCTTAAGATAAATGGAGATGGTTCATACTGCGGGCTTGTTAAACAAACTTACTCAAGTGCTATATGCGCTTGACCATTAAGTGACTTTTTTATTTCTGTGTAAATGAAACTTTTAACCAGACAAACAACCCTGCCATAACACTGGCAGACAAAATACCTGGCAAAACCATCTTCTAACACCTCCAGTGAGCACTTAATTTTTAAGTCTTTGAACAGAGAAGCTTAATCAAAAACCCTGTCTTTATAAATCTTTAACTCCTGTGTTTATCAAAGGATATGCAAACTGTTTCAGATAGTAACTGGAATAAATCTCGTGCCTGAGAGCACAAACAGTCTTGTTCTAGGGGTAAGTGGGTAATTCAGTCTCTGGGATCACAGTATTCCCATACAGACAGTCACAATGGGAGGGATCAATAAGCTGTTGGCAAACACATATACTGCAGAGACCAGAACTCCTGCTGCCAGGTCACGCAACAGTACAGCACATCTTGGCATACCTCAAAAGGATAAGGGCAAAAACCGGACCTGAAATCATACTATGCCACTCAAATCCAGCCCCATCTTGGCACAGCTTTCCAAAGAGACTATTAGCAACCCAGCAAGTGAAACGACGCTCATGTCAGTATTTTACCCATCTGAAAATTCTTCTTGGGCTGACTGTTGTAAGATGGCTTCCTCTGAGCATGTGCTACTAGGAAGATGTGCAGCAGATAGAATATAGCAGGAAATCAGTATTCAGTGTTGTTCTGACACCCTTTTTCTGAAAAAAGTTATGAATGTTTAAACACAGATGCATATTACTAGTCTCCTGGACCAATATTCTCCCAGTTTATCTCCACTAGACAATGAAAACATTGCCAGATACACCACTAAAGGCTGCACAAGCGCTACAGGACACAACACGCCTTTTAAGAAAATAAGATTATTGAAAGTCACTACACAGACCTTGACATATCTCATGGCACACACTTCCCTTTGATATCACAGCCAAGTTAACTACACCCACTCATACCTCAGATTTCACTCAGTCTCCACCTCCACCTCAGCAGTTTAGAGACCACACGAGCTTCCCGCAGCTGCTGACACCTCAGCGGTCACCGCACAGTTTCCCAGGAGTACCCCAGCGTACCTCATCGAGCGCACCAGCCTTGCCAACAACGTCCTTTTTTCCTCATTAGTAAACTTCATAACTCCCGGCGTCTCAAACTTCTGCCGGATCCATTGGCACTGCTCCACATCATTGATGAACATGAACTCCAAGCCAATGTGTTGGCAATAGGTATTCTAGGATATGAAATCGCCAGCACAGAAGCTTTAGGAGTTAGTGAGCCATGAAGAAACAATCACGTTTAAAAAAAATTACATTTTCTGTATATATTACTCTTCTGAAAGCTAATGTCTTCTTCCGCTTGCGCTATATCTTCCCCACAGTAATTCTATAAGCAAATAAATTATTTTGCTGAATCTAGTCTTGTGCCAGAAAGCTTTCTCTACAAAGTAATATTTCAAAACTTTGAATCTAGAAGATTCTCATTTGGTAATACATTCAAAGTAGGTGAATAAGCCTGCTTTAAACTGACTGGCATATTTCACGTAACTCACTACTGTTCACAGAAGCATAACAGTCTTTTCTATAGATGCACCAGCAAAGATTTCAAGTAACATATCAAAATTTACTCTGTCTTCTTTAAACATCACCTGAAATCAAGCAATAAAGACAGTGAGAAGACAGCTATGAAGCCACAGGTGAATCATCTGACAACTATCAAGTGACAGAAGGCTGGAAACCTAAAAAAGAATCCAAGCAGCCAAGAGCAGAGGAAGGACAGCGAAAAATGCAAAGACACTTTAGAAATGTTATTTCCTTGAGGCAAGTTTATTTTTTTCCTTACATTAAAAAAATATTTCACCAGAAAAATGGGTCCAAAATACAAGTCAAGAGAAGTAACACCCATTGTGAGTTTGACACAAAACCACTCTGAATAGTATGTGCTCTCTACTGCCTCTACAAAGGAATTTAATGTTAATGTCAACTAAAAAAAATTCCAAAGCTCCAAAGAGAAGAGGGAAACCAGAGGGTTACTCCTCTTTAACACAAATCAATTCCTTGAGGCTGTTAGATTTTGCCAATGACCTTTTGCCATTGACTTTTTCCATTCACTTGCACATTACAATTTTAAGGATCATCTCTTGAAAACTGCTACACAGACATGCAAGAAGCGCAAAAAACAAAACTCAAATATAGAGTTCAAATACACGGCAGAGATATGGCTTAACAACTGACGGTGCTTCAGCTAAGCTGATGTAATAGTCAAAAGTGCAGGTCAACACATTCCCTTCAACTTGCAACAGCTCAAAGCCATGAACTTATATGCTCAGTAATTATTTTATTTTTACGTTCTTGTAACTCATTTTTGTATTTAATCCTTTTAAAATATTTCCTCACTCCCAGTCCTTTTTTTCTCCAATGGATTTCATAACCATGCAACACAAATGTCCACAATTAGTACTCCAAAATGCTGGAAAAAGCACAATCCAATACTTCCTAATTCAATCGTTAACAAATTCATTACCATTCCTACTTGCTCTTTTGCTATTTGATGTTCCCCTTGAACTATATTCATTTAAATTATTTTAGCTTTGATGACTTCACATGGCATAACCATATCACCTGTCACATAAGGAAACTCTAAAAAAAGGACTGGGGATGGAAAACAAGAACCATCACTACCTACAAACTACAGCTGGCCTTTCCTGAGTTTGGTACCCAACCCTCCTATTTGCACTGAGGTACAAATCTCATTACAGATAGTGCTTTGAGAGCAACCCCTGCGTGTCCTGAGTACTGTATGCAAAGGTGTGATGGGACACTTAAAAGACAAGTTCTAAAGGCTCTACTCCTTTCAAACAACATCAGCTCTTCACAGAGCTAGGGTCTGAATTACTATTCTACCACATTCACCTCTTTTATGCTTGTCCTGAATCTATGTATTTGAGACACCCAGGCAATGAAAGTAACGGTGCTGCCATCTCTAGAAATAGTACAAGGCTTAATTTGAATGTCCTTTGAATTCTTTATGTGCTCTATCAATAATTGACAAACGGTACAGTTTTTTGTGGCTGACAACTGGAAAAAGTTGAGTTGTTTGGATGAAAACAATCATGAATCAAAAAAGTCCCACTGACCTCCAGCCGTTTGATGATCTCCCGTAAAGACAGACTGTTCTCGTTTCCTCCTATGAAGGTGGTTGTAGGCAGCTGAAAGACTTTGTCCAAATCTGATTCATGCAAACCATAAAACCCTACAACAGGCATATCATCAGTTTGCAAAGCAGGGCAGGAGACAAAACGGAAACCAGCATTGTTATTCAAACTACCACAAATTAAGTTTAATAAAGCAATATTAAGAAAGAAGGGAGCAGATTAAAAATTGGAAGTGTGCATATTTCAGAAGCAACCATTTACAATGCACTTTAGTCTGGATTTTTAAAAGTAATATTTTAATTAGTCATTGTTTGATTAGAAGTACCAAATCATTCCTTCTTAAATGCTCAGACAGAACAAGTGAGATTAAAATAATCCAAACCTTTTTACATTTTCGTATATATGCCATCCATTCTCCATATTACACCTTGCACAGTTCAGTAAAATAATTCAGTAAAATAATTATTCGGATTTTTTTGTTGTTCTGTCGTGAGCAACCACGAGAAGAACCATTTTTCCAGACAGACTCAGCTGACTGGTAGCATACTAGATTAATTTATACAACACTAAAACATGGACTAAGAGAAAGCACTTAACATGTCCAATGTAGTGCTGTGCAGACACTCTAGACATACTTTCAAGGTGTCTACTAAAACAAGGGCTTGTTTAAGCATATTGCTCCATCTTGATTTAGACTTATCTAAACTTGTTCTGGCTGAGAACATGGTTGAAGAAGATAATTATTATGCAGTTTTGAAAGCCAAAATACACAACAGAAAAGACCAAAAGACTCGTAGCAACACAAGTTAAAGGCTTTGCGTGATAAAGTTTAATCTAGATCTCTTAAATGAAGAAAGGAAAAATAGCTTTCTACAACTGAAAGAAGTAAATGTATAAAGCTTATAATACACATTACATACAGTTACAAAAACTTACACATACATAAAAATTATATATATTTGTGTGTGCAATGTAAAGATATTTTCTAAACTAAAAATAGCTTCTCTGTTGTTAAACTCTTTATCTTGGTTCTGGATAAGCTGCAGTCATCTCCTTTAACACTGACATAAAACCCTGCACATAACTCTTAAATCAATACAGAGTAGCGCTCCGTATCCCCTGTTAAATGAACTTCCTGAAGATGAAAGTGAAGAAGCAATTTAAAGATGAAATAACACTGAAACTTAGCATCTAGAGATGAAGTCAGGGCATGGGACTGCATTGCCACCACTTCTACTGTATGGCACTGTCAGTAATACAATATTTTGTGTTTAAAATAGCATATTTTTAAATATTAATTCGGGTTTTAGTAATATGTTAAAATGTCAAATCTGGAGTGAACAAAAAAAGCATTTTGGTATCACTGCTTCTGCTCTTTGGTACTGTAATAGGCTTTTCCAGTACTAAATTAAATCTTTTTTTCTCTAATACCAGCAAAAAACCAAACAAACACAAAACAAAACTTTTTTTAAAGGCAAAACACAGGATGACAGGGGCTTTGGTGTCACTTGAAACAAAGCAGTGCTAACATCCTTTTTTTTATTCTCCCTGCCCTTTCCTTTCTCTCAGACTTCACAGGCTCCTCATGTTCTGTCATGCAAAAATCAGAACATGTACAGGAGTGATTTGGGCACACACAGAACATCTGTGCTTTGTACGGCAGTGCTGCATATTTACTGAAGCATCACCTCATGTTTAAAGAGATACAACCCTTCCGAAACCCAAGTGCTCCTGAAAGCAATTCTCTAACTTCAATCGTGCAGTAGGCACACTCATAACTAGCTGCATTTTTGGAACCAACTCTAAGAAAACGTCCTATCAGAACATTTCTCAAAAAAGAGACCAGAGGACACGGCTAAGAGAATGCACAGAAAAAAAAATAAAGAAAGAAAAATAATCAAACACTAAAATACTCTCTGTACTACCAGAGATGTTTGGTAAGTTTCCCGCCTGCAACACTCAGGCAATGTGTGAGATTGCTCTCTTTTCTGCTGTGCCAAGACTAGGTTAGAGATTTTGCTTCCTGGTACAAGCTGAAATTGAAATATCACCTCAATTGCACTCTCAGACAGGTCCTCCATCTCATTCAGAGTCTAGCATGTTTTTCCTATGTTCGTGAGGCTTCCCTATGATGCCTCCCAACCAGTCACAATACTCTGTACCAAACTATCTGCAGTGTTTAAAGAAATTTGTACTGACATGCTCCAAACAAATTATATTTACTTAGTAAATGTCTAATCTATTTCCTAGCAGGTACTTCCTTTTAATTAAAGCTGACAAACTCCAAAGAGAACCCCTAATTTTTGCAAGCGCCTCTCTGTTTACAGTCTTAAGCACTCCACTGCCTTTATGCAATCAAGCATCAGAACTGCTTCTTACCGTACAATCAGAAACAGAAAACACAGCAGGAAAGAGACAGTTGATGTACTTGCAGCAAAATTAAGCGGAATGTATTTTAGCTACTACTTGCACTATGTTTTATGTCTGGTCCAAAAAGCTTCCCTACATATTGAAGAAAAATTGATCCAGAGTCTTTATCAAGTAGAAAACCACCTTTCAAATAAACCAGGTAGATTGAAGAGTAGAGAAAAATCAATCAGATGGGATTTTATTCAAGCAGAGAAGAGCAAAGGAATTGATCACTGCAATTTCTCAAAGACATGCCCTCTTAGCAGCCACAAAAACCTTTGCAACAGCAGACCCCAGTGTATCACATTACTACTTTCAGCAGTAAACTAAAATGATCAGCACTGGATTACACACACAAGCGAGATTTCTGCACTTTCCATGTTTTCTTTTGTTAACTTCAAACAGACTTCCTCAAATTATACAAAGAAGTAAGTATCAGGCACTAGATTCCAAATTCAGCATGAAATTTATCCTAAGTTCCTCTCTCTAGCATTTTGTTTATTACCTGTTTTTCCTATTGACTAGCCCAGTCAAAATAAGTATCAAGCGGAATGGTATAAAAGCAATTTAGACAACCAGAATCTTGGCCTAATATATTGATAAGTGTTAATTTCTGGTGTAGTTCAAACCCGTAAGATTTAGAGGTTTTAAAAAGTGTTTATAAATATCATTCATCAGGTGAATTCAAAGGAACCTCACCTGTGATTTCAGAGTAGGAAGTCCATCATCCTGAAATTGGAGCCCACTTACAGATGCTCAAAGAAACTATCTCATGATACCACCAAGTAGAAAAGGTAGAAAATTCCCTGAAATGTCTTATTAAATCACCTCAGTGCAGCGAGACAAAAAGAGAAAAATGACTATTGCAAATAACAAGGCATACAGAGTACACACCAAGTTTATCGATTGTAGTGATCAAATCAGAAGGAACAAACGAATCCAAGTCTGCATCCAGAATCCCAAGGGGATCCAGCTGAGCCACATGATGGCCACGGATCTGAAAACGAAGTAAGAGAAAAATGGAATCATGCTAACAAAAGTCAGAAGAAGGGAAAAAGTCACTGATACCTCTCCACAGTATGCATACCAGCCACGACTCCAATAAGTAAATGTCACTAATGTCATGAGAGAGTCCTATGTCCCAAGGTTTCCCATAAGAACAGGAAAAAACCATTTTCCTTCTTGATAGGTATACTACTTCTATCATAAATTGCTGAACACACATTAAAACATAACTTGTACTTTCTCTGAAATACAATTAAAACTGGTATTACACTGAAGTTTTAAATAAAGAAAAATACTAGACTGTACTCTAAATGTCTGTGTAAAATTAAGAAACTATGACTAGTCTATAGAACCTATCATTGGCAAATTCAATAATTTTGTATTTTTGTCGGAATCATCCCTTCCGCACCCACAGAATACCAAAATACAGCATCGCTGACCTAAAACATAGATAGGTGCTAAAGAAATTTATACTGGAGGTGAAAGGATCACTTTTCTTTAGCTCTGCTCCATGTCGGATAGCATCAGATAGCATTTATTTTCATTCATGAAATTTTGAGAATGTCATCTATGACAAAATTGACATTCATGACACCAAAGAACACCAGTGGGGAATTTAGCCAGCTTCCAATTATCACTATGACTGCTGTTAATGCATGCCAAGAGTTGCTATGAACTAGTGCCTTATATTAACACGTAACATTGCTGCAGAAGAAATAAGTGATTCAGAGTCACAAATAACCCCCTTTTTTTTCTTATAACATCTTTTGTGCCTGATTCTTATACACCAAAGTAGCTCATTAAAAGCTTTTTATGGCTGAATATATGAATATTTTCTCCTTAATATTTTTCTGTTTTTAAACAGATCGCTTGAGTAGAAATTCATTCACACTGCTAGTATCGAACTGTCTCTGAAAAAAGTAGATTAAGAAACTACAATAATGAACTGCATCACGCAGTAATAGAGTGTGATTAAAGTGTGCTTCATCAAGAAGTGACTTGTAAAAACACTATTTAAATGTTCCTTATTTGCAGAAGAGCTCATAATAAAATTCTTTTCACTCATAAGCAAACAGAAATAAGGCATCTTTTTTAGAATCACCAGTTCTGTAAATTCAGCCTGGCCTCTGAGATTCTTTGCATCTCATGAATCACCAGCAATAAAACTCTGACGGGCCGAATGATGCCCACGGCAACATCTGTGCCACCTCATTGTTTTCAGCAGCACAAAGTCTGTCTGACTGGAACAAAGCAAACAATTCTGTCTCGAGCATCATCAACAGGAAAGAATTCACCTCCCTAAGCTACATCTGCTCTGCAGTATTAGTAGGAAAAGGATCAACACGGATGCCAAAACCCAGAAGGGCATAACAGTAAAGCACTGTGCCATATTACACTCCAGAAGCAGTTTTATCGTTATCTAAACAACAGTATTTTCCTCAACATCAAGGGTTTTTTTAGTAACTTTCACTTCTTTCACTGGATACAGGAAATAGTAATAACAGCAAAAATCAGAGATCCACCTTGTGAAAACTCATGCAAGGAAAATTTTAATTAATTGTCATAAATCTGACTAGATGCAAGTACAGATGACCTGACACTAGACTTTAAAATCATATTTTCTAGACACAGATGCAAGAAAAATCCAAACTACATTATAAAAGAAGTCTCAAGAAAATTTATTTCTACAGATTCATTCTTCTTAAGTATACATATTTCACTGGAAATCCTCCTTTCAATGTGCCCACTGCTCTGCATTAGAAAAAGCAATAGATGAACCAGAAGATCAGCCTAAAAGGCCACAAAGCAGTTTACCACAAAAACCATAAAACACTGACAGGTTTGAGAAATGAAAATTCTGTATCCTTCTCCATTTCATTCTGCAAAGGAAGGTCACAAATTGATTGTATGCCTTCAACACTGAATTTAGAGGGTATTAAATACCATTTGAAAACAGACAGTAGCCTTAGGTAATCCTCTTTCTCTGTGTGTCATAGACACACAGGTGCCTGCCATTTATACGGCTAATTCTGTTGGACAGCACACTCGTTCAAACACAGGAAACAAAACGGCAATCACCGAACTATTTTCAAGTGAATAGTGTCAAAGCAGCCCAACATCCTCCAGTTTTCTCTAATTCTTCAACAAATTTTTACTGCAAGTGTAAGTGGATGGACTGAAGTGGTTGCTTCCTACATAGTTATTTCCAAGCAAATGTCACATACAAATTTTCTTTGTATTCACTAATCTTTCTACTCTTTTACAACAGCTTTCCAACTGCTAGAATAACATGGTACGTATTTGAATCAGTGGTGACAATGCAACATGTACAGAAGAAAGTTTTTTTTAAAATTTCTTCTATTCCTCTGATGACATCAAATAGGAGTTATAATTCTTAGTGCAGGATAGAACAGAGCTGTTCAAGTCAAACTGTAGCAAACTTCTTGGAAAGTTATATACTTAAAAATTAAAAAAAAAGCAAAATCCCTCTAATTTGAAAATAGAACTGGAATATTCTGGTCAATGCAGATCTACAATGTTTAGTGTTTTGGTTTGGGTTTTTTTGTGTCACACTATTTCGAAGCCTTTTATTGAAACTAAGACATTAAACACAAGTCTAAATAAAAATGTTTAAACCTGTTTTACATTTAGAAAACACCTAATGAAAACCACTATGCTATTTACAAAATCCTCTTTCTTTTAGAGTAACAAAGGAAATTAGAATTATTTTTTTATTTGATATATGGGCTAAAAAAAATCCAAGTGTGAAGTTAAGTCAACTTTGACAAAGAGTTCTTTAAAAGAGATTCATCAAAGCTGACTCAAATTCAGCACTGTCAGCCTCCCAGAATTGAGCTTCTGGTTAATTCATTATTCCTCCTCTCTTTTTACTTCTAATCCTGTTCACTTCAGGAATCTCAAAATTCACACAAGATGCATGAGAAGACAAGTACATTCCCTCTTTTCTTAAAGAAAGGTAATAACATTTAGAATTGTAATACAAACTTTCCTAAAAGTGAGGACAGACCGATCATGGAAAAGTTTGCTGTGGAAGAGAGGGAAAAGTTCATGTTTCACTGCACACATTAGGAGATTCATTACCACCAGTAGATCCAGGATAACTCCCTTCATATGAAGCAGAAGTATTCTGAGTAACTTATTTTTACAGTTTGGTCACTTAACTTCCTGTATCACATGTACACACACAAAATCTTAATACAGCCAAGTAAGCCAAAATAATAGTAAAAGCTGAGCTTTGACATGTTTGGCTCTGGCTCCTGGAAAATGAGCAAAATCCAATAGATTTATGATTCCTTTCACAAACAATTATTTCCCTCAGGATGTTCCAGGTTAAGTCAGATAACTGGAATCAGGGCTGTGGGTAATCTGAATCCTGAATGTGCTAAGCCAGAGGAGTATCCCAGCCTGAATCAAGGATCTGTTCAAACACTGTGCAGAGAAGAAGACTCTCTAGTTCAAAACACTTTGGATCAGAAGGAAGACAACAGGCAAGAGTTAAGATAAGAAGACAAACAAGATCATAAAAAGGAAGAAAAAGGTTGTCTGCAAAAGAGAGACCCTCCCACAGCTACACCAAAGTACACTTACTTGGTATGCTCTTATCAAAGACTGCACAGCAAGGTGATCTTCAACAAGTTTTTCAGCTTTACCCGGTGTCTGGGCCAGCCCATGGCTTTGAAGAAATGACGCCTTTCTTTCCAGCCGCTCTGGTACATGGGGATCATAGGCTTGGCCTGCATTAGCATTTCGGAAAAATAAATCCCAGGACTGGACATGTGTACAGAGAAGGAAAGAAGAAAGAAAATCTGTTACCTTCAAATCCTCAACCAAAAGCAACTCCTTAGGGCCGCAAATGGCACATCACTACATTACAGTATTAAGTACCACCAATAGCCAGCAAAAAGAGAGCACTGGTATGTCCACGTCCTGTTAGCAACTGTGTGTTTCATTTAAACAGAGCCCTTTAAATCTTAATTCTTACACAGAGCTTGTTCAGTGGACACCTCTCCAGTATAAGAGTGCTAAGCATCTTCATACATTATTCATTCACACAGCTCTTTTAACTGTGATGTTTATTCAGGCAACCAGTAATGAGTACGATATTATTGCTGCTGGTAAAGAGATATCAAGCCTATAAAAATGACAACTTTAACAAATTAAATTAATCCATTCCTTTAATGATGCTTAAAGAATTTACGACACTTCAAGACACTCACTGAATATGCTAAATCAGAATCAGTCCTTAAGGACTTTTCTTGAAGAAACTGCTTAAAAGCAATCAGAGCTCTCCTGAGTGAGGATTTCGGTCTGAGATGCTTTCTTCACTAGCTTAGGTTACTAGCTTACTGTGCAAGAAATCACAGACCTCGTTTCAGGTGCAAGTTCTTATTCCACAAGAGTACGGATTTCAGAAACCGAATTGTAACAAACAGAAGATCATTTTCATCTGCACTTTTACACAAGCTACTTCCTCCACATATGCCCCAATCTGCAGTACACAAAGTTTTAATAAAGAACGTGCTTTGCTTACGTTAAGGTTCCTTCCTCACTTTTTCCAACACTGTGATACATATACAATGACAATAATAAAATAACTAGTCCTTTGTTAAGTCAAAACCTTTTCATTTCGACATATAAGTTATCACAGCACAGTCCCACAACTGAGTATGTTTTTATACAAGTGCTCTGCTGAGACAGTTGCTAACAAAATCCAAACAGACCTGTCCAACAAACTATCTGTCTAAGGAGAACAAGCATAGGACCATTTCCTCACACAAACTCACAAATATAAAGAACTACTTTCAAAATGTTTATATCTGAAGATGCAGTCAGATAGGACCCACACTATCTTTTCTTATCACATTTTTGAACTTATTGATTTGTTGGGCAGGCTTGACATTTAATCAGAGGGGAGGGAAAATACATCATTTGGCTACAGAAAATTAGTTTTTTCTAGACACACATCCATCAAAGCCTTTACAAATTTCTACAGCATCTTTCAAGATTGATACCAGATTATAGTCTTGAAGTCCTGTGTATCAATGTCAGTTTTGGCAACAGCATTTGCCATGTGATTGAACAGTGAGAAGACCAGCTTGGTCTCACAGCAAACCTGCAGGTTATCAAGTAAATTAGTAAAGTTATTTAAGAAAATGGTAAAGAAGACTTTTAGAAAAATATATCTGTAAAAAATCAATTACTATAGTGACATATGATACACTCTTTTTTTCCTGACAGCAAATCTATATTGTAGTTAGCCATTATTTTCTCTAGTAATATGATACAATTCAAGTGATTCAGTGGCAATATTCAACTCTCATATAACAAAGAGTGTTGCACTTAGAATAACAAGAAACATATTAGTTATCTTGCTCATTTATGGTGTTTTGTTTTTTCCTAGTGACACCACAGTATTTATCAACTGCACTGAGGAGAGTAAAGCCTTAGAAAACAGACACTGAGTATCACTACATCACTTCAAAAAAATAAAAAGATGAAGTCAAAACAAAACCCACACACTTTTTCCAAGTACATAAAACAAGGAAGTGATTACACACTCACAGTAGAGCAGCTGCATGGAGGAAAACATGGCAGGCATTAGGTACTCAATATCCAACCATGCAGTTTTGTAATTAATCTTCTGATAGTAATAACTGGGCCTTGTCAAGCTTCTCCCTTATGATCTATGGCCCTGACACCATGCTTCAAAGAGAAATAATGATGCCTTTTTCAGAGCCCACATCATTTTACTGATTGTTGTTTTGGCTACTCTAACGATAGGAAATTCAAAAGGCAAGGAAAAGTAGAAAATCATCAGGAATGGATTTTCACAAAGAATAAAAGCTCCTATGCATATAAATGCATATTCTTTGATATATAACCTCAATATACATAGGAAGGAGAGATTCTCAGAAAAAACATTACTAACACTGAATACACTCATTGGAACATGACAGTCATATTTCAAACAGTTTTAAATAAGCACACATGGGAAGATATGTCCAGTCAAACCTTATGAGATGGAAATCATTTGAGGAGCCTTGATTAATTGGAGTTTCTAAGTAAAATTGAATATAGTATGGTTTTAAAATCAAGGAAAAATAAAGCTTTTTCACCTCATCAAGCAGAGGGAGGCACATCCCCTCATAAAAGGAGCTATCCAAGAAGAAAACCATGAGGAGGAAAAATAAGAAATAAAGAGGAAAAAGAGTAAAGATAATGTAATGTCTAAACACCTAGCACAAATTGGCTCTCTAAACCATGCCAGATGGATAAAACAATGAAATATGAGTGGCTTGCAGAGAGAGTCAAACAATATCATAACCAACATCACATAAGCTGGTGTCTCTTGATGTTATTCTCCAACACTTCCACCACTTTCTCTAGCAGAATAGCAAATTCACAACTTGACTACAGTCATACAACCACAGCATGAGTTTTTCTGTATTTCTAAGAGTTCAACTATCAATATTTTTAACTTGTCTTATTAAAGCTGAAATTCAACATTTTTTGTCAACAGAAATAGGTATTTGCAACTTTCAGCTGATGAAATGAGATGGTTTTCAAGAAGTCAAAACAATTTTGTTGATGAAAAAAATTCATCAGCATCATTACCCTCACCCTCTTTTCTCTACGGTATGAAAAACCTAATTATTTAGCCAAGAACAGCTGTAAAGTAATCCATTACATCCATCAATCATATTCTTTTAAGTCTTATAAACCAGGTACCCAGTGCATTTAATTTAGTTCATTACTGTTTTAAGTATGTTAAATATAGTCAACCTGGAAAACAATTCACACATCTTTAAAGTGCATTTTGAATTACCTGGGACCCGCCCTACCCCTCCTATACATTTACATTCCTCAGTCAACTCACTTGTGCTAATTTATCAGTCACCGCACAACCTAAAAACTGCCACAACTTCATCAGCATCCACTGCCCAATGGCACCTGAACTGCCAGATGAACTGGACACTCTTTTGTATGAACTTTTAACATCTCCACCGAACCCCAAGCATCAGCAAGACAACGAGGATGGCCACATTTGGCAGAAGCCTTTGCTGTTCACTCGGGCCCTGAGGTCGGTGAAGTTTCCCGGCCGGGGCCGTTCAGCACCCTGGCCAGCTCCGGGCTCTGAGCAGGGAAGGTGGTTGTCACCAGCCAAGGGAGAACAAAAAGTCACCACGATGTCGCCACAAACGCTCCGTATGCACGAGTTCATCCCTTCAGCATCCTCAAATTTAAAGGTTAGTATCGACCTACAGCACCGACACATCACGAGGGCTGCTCAGGAATTAATTCAACGAATCCACACAATGCACTACCCTGCTATACTCTGGCTGGAGCTTCAGCTGGCAGTTACATGATGAGCAACTGAGGACAGATGGGATGAGAGGAGTTGCCCCTGAAGAAGATCTCTTCAGTTCCAAGTTAAGGCATAACACAAAAGACCTAGGATCCATCTGCTACGTGAAGAACAATCAGAGTTGTCAATGCATGTCACCTTGCAACAAGACTAACTTGGTGCACAACATGCAAAAAAGCCAGCTCCAAACCTGCTTTATTTGCTTCCCTTTTTTTTTTCTCCCTCAACACTTCACTCACTCATGCTCTAGATAGATGATCAGACTCAGAGCAACAACTTTTAAGTGACATTTTTACATACGTGTCTAAAGAATCAAGTAACACATAACCAATCTCGTAAACATTTTGGGCACAATTCACGTTACACCTCTAGAAAATTACTTGTCTGTCTTAGAATTTATCAGACTTCTCATCAACTTCTCAAGTTACTACACATGTGACACCATAAGGTAGCCTTCCTTGGTAGCAGGAAGCTTGTTAAAAAAAAAAGTCTATGTATTTTGCCCAAAAAATTAAGAATTTGAGCAGTAGATTTAGTTTAAAAAAAAAAAAAAAGTGGCATGCTGCCTGGAGAGGCAGAGATACAGAGAAAAATACTTCAAGATACCTAATAAGGTTTTTCTGACAATTTCAGATTCAGTTTTAAGGTTGCAAGTTCCACAGCTCCCTAAAGGAAACTGAAGTAGCAACATCAACATGAATTATTTAAATATAGCATATCCTCTGATACAACCATATTAAAATAAACCAAAAAATTAACAGTATTTTATTTCTCAGATCTTCTTCCAGAATGTAACTAATTACTTAACAGGCTGTTTGAACAGCATTTCCATGTGGCTAGGCTGAAAGTTACTGAGTAGCTTACTATTTCTGGCCTGGACTTCTCATTCTTTCCCCTCAGCTCACAATGCCTGTGGCTCCTCTGTACTATTTTAGCTGCAATATCACATCTTACAACAATCAATATGTGGAAAATTAGTTTCATATTTTTCATTTCAGCTAAGACCTTTTTCCAGACTTTTTATAAAACAAGTTAAAAAAAAAGAAAAAAAAATCTGATTCCACTCTAAACCTAGTATCATTTACAGTCAACTTTTAGACTTACCTTATGTACACTTTTAGGGTTTTCAAGCCACGCATAATACATTTCTTCCACATAATTTGAATTACTCCCACTCAGGAATGGTTCTGAAGATCCCGATGAAACATACCGTTGGCCATGTAAAAACACCCTTCTGGCTATATCTTGCTTTTCCAACAGTTTAATGCCATGCCACTTCAGTGTAGTTGCAAACAACTTCAGATGACTCATATTTGCTTATTAGACAGAAGATCCAACTCTATTAAAAAAGACAAACGCAAACCTTATCAGAAAAGGAGCCAATGGATTGCAGATGCACTTCAGCCTCACAGTGAAATTTGAGGTTTATGGCTAGAGCGCTCTTCAGCACAGCTCAGACCTAGGCATGAAGTTCTCTTCAGGGGAGAGGCCACTCCACACCTGATTGCAGAGCTACATCTCCTCAGAGCAGCGGAAGCATCGCTGATGGCCATCCCCATCAGCTCACCTCACAACTTCTGTAACTGATAACACCATCCTGGTTCCTGAAGCAAACATGACACCACTGGTACCGCACTCCCCACGAGCCCTGGTTCCCTGGGAAAAAATGAGTCTGCTCTGACTTCTCAGGAGCTCCTGGCAACCATAACTGCTGGTTCTCCGTTGTAGAAAGCTGCAGCCTTTTAGCGTCAAGCTGGGGTAGGTTCAACTAGCAGTGTCAATCACAAACCCAGTGGTTAAAAAAATTCTGCTACCTCAACTTCATGCAGTGAATAATGGAGCTGACAAAGTGTGTCAGCTTTAAAAGTGTGTGTTAGAGTTTATATTGATGACAGCCTTCAATCAAACAGTGTTACACTAAGAAAAGGCTCAGTGTAATTTGCTTTCATAACTAGCAACATTTAGCCTGCCCTTCCAATGACTTTTAAAGTTTTTTAACAAGGAAAGCAGATACCCTGTGATTTTGAACATGAGAAGAACTATAAGGTTTGAATCCCAAGAATGCTGAACACCATCAGATCCAGTGCTAGCAGAGTGAATCAAAGCTCAGCTTTAGAATAAAAAGAACCTTACAGTTAGACCAAAGTGCTGAAGCTGCCAAAATTGCAAAGGAATAGCAATAGTGTGAAAAGAAATTATTAGTTTTGTTTTCAATTCAGAAGTATTTGGAAAGCTACAAGAACATAAAGGATAGGATACTAATCTACTTCCTGAATTTTCCAAGCAAGCACTTGTCCATGTTCTCCATGGTGCCCATGGGAAGTACTCTCCCAAGGCAGTAGCACCAAAAATAGTACACAGTCCTCCTTTAAACCCACCAACGCCCCAAAATCTGGAAACCACACACTCTTCTCTCCTCGCTGGGCCCTGGTTAGGCTACTAGTATGCTGAACCCCCTATATATTTGTATTATTTCCTTATATTCACTTGTCATTTCCCATTTCACAGACTCAAAGCTTACTGCGACACCGATTTCCTGTCATGTTGACACTTTGTCTATGATTAGTGCTCCTACGCAACTCTAGAACAAAAATACTATCAGCACCTTTCTGAAAGCAGATTAAGGAAAGCTCAGAGCAACTGGGACAACACTGACAGAGTTAATATGTTGTCTGCATACATCATTCTTTTTAAGATGTAATGGCACTAAAAACACTATGCATGCATCATCATTTTGCAAAATTCGATAAGAATTCAACACAGTACACCAGTGAGTATTGACGAGTCACCACATCACTTAGAAATTATTATTCCACCTTCTTTATTCCCTGCAAATCCCATTCTCTACTACCAAACTTCTGCACTCATACCTCAGGGGTGGACGTCCATTCCTCAAGAGTTACCAGTCCTGACTTAAAGCATTTTGCAAAGAGCTGGGAGAGAAAGGAATGGGAGGAACATTTTTCTCACTTTATCACATGAGAGCAGCAAGCTTCTGAAGTACTGTTAATTTCACATTTCTTCTTCCTGTCTGAAGAATGTTTAGCTCTTTCTTCCAGCAGTTAGCAAAGATCATATACAAAAACAACAATTTGCCAGGGAGATTTGAAAATAGATGGCAATGACATAATATATAAAAGAAACGAAGAGCTTGTAAGCAGTACCAGTCACTCTAAATCTACTTTGCCTTTCCAATGATTTCCAATGACTTCCATTTTGATTTCAAAATTAGGTCAGAGCCATACTTCGAGTTGTAACTACTGAATACACAATCTATAAGAGTGGGTGTAGGTTATGATATTCCTATGAAGGTATAAAGATTATGGGTGAAAAAACCCTGTTACCACAGACATTATTTCAATCTCATGAAAAGGTAATACAGGTATGAAACAAAAATGAACAAAGTCACCAATCATGTAATTCCAGTCAGATTTCACCTACAGATTAATTTCACTCAACAAAACTGACGACTTTCTAGTTCTTTGTTTCACACACACATTGCTCCTCAACCCAGGTGTCAGCTGTCAGCAGCTAAACGAATCGGAGACCACCAGCATGATCATAGACCGTTCCGGCCCACTCAGCCTTGAGACTGTCAGTCAGAAATCAGCACACAGGACAGCAAGCACAAGTCAGAAATAGGACTGTTCCATTCTGCTATGCTTTGTAAATTAACCCTGAAATGGAAACAGTGATTGGCAAGGAATCAAGCTGAGCTAAGAGCAACCTAAACGAAGATATTAATTAAATCTCTACCAGAGGTCAAAAATAAGAAAGAAGCAGTGAACCAAAAGAACAATCTGATACTTAATGCACCAAACCACCCTTAAGATGGTGGAAGTAAATTAAAGCCCTAAGCAGCTGAAAATTTCTGCAGCTATTGTGCAGTATGGCACTTGTGCCTCAAGCTACGAGCTGGCTCTCACCTTGGCACTTTCAACTCCAGAAGTGAACTAATGTCATGAACAGTCCTGTGAATTATTCTACCCAGGCATCTATAGAGTAACAGAAGTATATGAAAAAGAGACAGAGAGACACTTCTGATAGCACAGTGTTTATCCAGCTTTTTTCAAGATCATTTTAAACATAAATCTATTGCCTAGGCTAGTATCATATGAATCAATAGTCTTCTGGTATTGACAGTACCCTTACTGAGCTTCTTAACATAAACATAAAGGCCTGCTACCGATATTAACAAATGTTCCTTACACTCTGCAGAAGCAGCCATTAATATTTCTGGTCCATATTCCACAAAAATGTTTCTTCATCCCCTATCATGGCTGGTTTCTCCTATATTCTCCATACATCTCACTCCTAAAGCTTTTCTTAAGATTGAATAATTTCATAAAACAAGGCTGACAGTCAAAAAAATAGACGAATATAGAAAGGTGTCTCCAAAAGCCCTCCATGGATAATTGAAAATAGTGAGGCATGGAACGTTCTTATCAAATAAGGCTACTTCAGGAACATGCTAAATGTTTCTTTTCTTTAGAGCACAGATGTGTCACACCATAAAGAACCGTAATTCTCCAGCCAAAAAGTTGAGCTGGAGGAGCCATGCATTCTCCGCAGGACATGCACCATAACTCTTGGGCAATGGAAGCATCACCACCCAATAAAATCACCCGATGTTATTCTCCCCTTAAAAAAAAACCCACTTTCAGTGAGTACCAAAGGCACAACAGCTTTTAGGCTACTAAAAGTGAGGGGAGAAATATCTGGAAAAGGTCGGGTTTAGTCTTCTCTCCCCAGTGGCAAAGCAAGGACATGTCCTTGCGCGGCCGCCCAGCAAGCCCTTGCCACAGCAGCCTTCGGCCCCACCGCGGCCGCGACCGGGGCGCGGCGCCG